TTCGGGTCAGCGGTTGGCGGGGTTGGGCATCGTCCTGGAATGGAGCGCGATACAAGAAGAATTTTTGCGTGTTGATCCTTCACTATTTGTATTTCTGGCTACGTTCACTTTACTCCACTACATTTGCCGAACTAAAACGTATAAATTTTCTCCAAACCACCTCTGTTAGACATCACTGCAAAGAACAATTCGAGGAAATTATTCCTTTGGCGCACAAAGCAGAAAATAGCCAAGTCAAGATGATTTATACAGTCCTTCGTCACTGAATCGTCGCGAGGCGCCACAAATTGGAACAATGCTGTCCAAACCATCATGCGACTCGTTCAATCGATGCACAAACAAGCGCTCCTTTGGTGGAAATAACGAGCGTGCTTTGTTTTCTCGTTGCCGGGCAGCGTTCACGTCCATCCACCTGATCGCCACCGGGGTGTCCTGCTTCATGGGCGCCGGTCTTTTGTCCTTCCTGGTCTACGTGTACTGTCAACGCTTCCACAAGCCGTCGCAAGAGTCGGCCGTCATCCATCCGACCACGCCCAACCACCTCAACTACAAGGGCAACGCCACGCCAAAGAACGAGAAGTACACGCCGATGGAGTTCAAGGTTGGTGAAGCGTTCGCAAGTTGGCAGTTTCGTCGTATACGTGCTTCGCGTTCACGAGCCGTCGGGACATTTCAAGAAGAGTCCTTAAAGGAACGCCGGGAAGCCCAAAAGGACGATTAAAACGGTGGCTTCAAACCAAAAGTGGCAGACTTTGTGTCTTTTTGGGCTCGGCCTCTTGAGACGTTTTAGATATGCCCACCAAATTTCATGTCGTTAAAATGAAAGTGGCTTTGGGGGATTCCATTTGAAGTTATTAGTCGCGTTTTATGTTAGACGGGGAGTCGTCAAATTTCACGACCCTCATCTGCCCGCACGCAATTATGAAAAATGTCATTTTAAAAAAGAAAATATGGCGCCCATCTGTCCAGGATACTGTCTCGACTTTAAATTTGCGAGCAAACCAACCAAATCTTGAGGGTGTTTATCCTTGAAAATGGCCAAAATGACCCACCCTGCAAATGCCGGCGTCAGAACAGAATGCCAGACTTTCGGCATGGCTTTGTGAAAACTTTTTTTTTCCTTTTTGTGGGTTTACTCATGATAGAGAAACCTACCGAAATTCAAAGAGTGCCATAGGGTATGGATTTTTTAAAAAGTAACAAACATAACATGCTCCTAAAATTGACCACTTCAAAGCAAAACGGCAGACTTCTCTGTTTCTTTTCAAGCATGGCATAGTGAGCCTTTTTTTGTGGGTCTTCTCCTAATAGACAGGTTGACCAAATTTGCTGTTAGCTTTAGGGTTAGATTTTTTATTTATTTTTTTTAATTAAGTTGAACGCTACTGAGCCTTTTGTTTTATGGCAAGTCATCCCAAGTTTGTCAGAATGCTCGGCCCAAACGCATTAAAGTGCGCCAAATCTGGTACCAATCGGCCAAAAAGGGAGTAGTTGGTCTTTGAAATCACCCTGGAAATGAACCTTCAAATGGTCGCGATTGAGCGCTTGAGCAAATCATCTCAGGGTTCAAGCTAACGTCCTCTTGTGAATTTCACTTGCGTTATAATGAAAGCTATCGCTAGTCGTCCTTTTATGCTGAAATGTAGGACTCAAGCGCTCTCACAAAAATGGGCTCGTACTGATCCTCCATGTTGGACACTTGAAAGATTTAAGAACCATAAAATGTGCTCTCATGTTTTATTTACTCCTTTTATTGCCACATTTGTCCCGGCACTCCAGGATGAATCACCCGCTCACCTGCGCCTTATTAACGAGCTACATTAGCGCGCTGCTGCTAACGCGTCCTCGGAACGCGCCGTTTTGTTCTCATTAGTTAAACCACAAGAGGTTATTGCAAATGTTTTGCTTTGGTTGCTGCTTTTTCGTCATGAAAAAAAAACGCTCTGCTTTTGTCTGACCTCCACCTTGTCGTCAAAACACGCCGTCGTCGACGTTTCGATGAATTCAAGGCAGCCTTTAGCCGCCTGACGATTTCCAGCTTCTGGCTTTTTGGATGACAGGAAATAAAGGTCAAACGGCTCGTAACGATCCCCTTAATTAGCTACGGGCCGACGCTAATGATGAATGCTGGCTTCTGTCGAGCTCATCTGGATCTGTCGCCATGAGGTGCACCTGCGCAATGCAATGGAATGAAATGCACGACGAGAGCAAAGCTGCCTGCGAAAAGAAGAGATGAAATAGTTATTTGAGCGCAGTGTTTTATGGCAAATTATCCAACTTCACAAGGCTCCACTTTCACAATGATGGAAGAAAAAAATCCATTCTTGCTCGTTTTTTGTTTTTTTTGTGGGTCTGCTCATAATAGACATCTTCCAAATTTCTTGTTGCTCTGTGACACTGGCTTCAGGGTGTGAATTAAAAAAAAAAAAAAAAAAAAGAAGAGGAAAAAAATTGAGCTTAGTTATTAGTTTCCTGTCTTCTGTCTCATTATAAAAATTCACCGACATGCTCCACGCACTGGGGAGTGACTAAAATTCAAATGTTTGATCATTTAGCGTCATCTTTTAGTCGGCTTCAGAAAACCGGTGAGACGTGATTGCTTCCGACCTGAGCTGTGAGCAACGGTGATGTCATTTTCAGCCGACACAAACTGACAAAATGGCCGCCCCTGGAGATGGCTAAAACCAGGTGGATTTCCCTGCTTAACTCCTATTCCACAAACGGAATATGAACCAGAATGCGGCATTTAGACTAGTGAGGGCGCCTATGGAATACTACTGTCAAGAAAATTTGGGGGTTGACTTCCTCTTTTAAAATTGCTTCCTCAAAACAAAATGGCGGCGCAAATCTTCCATTTTGTTGTCCATTAGTCTGCTGACTATCTTTGACATGAAACTCAATTGCATTTGTTACACTGATTTGCTCGCACGCGTGAAAACACGAGCCACCTAAACGCATCTGCCATGATGCATTACTCACCGTTAAACGCGTGTGTGTCTTTTGTGTGGCGCGCACACATGCGCAATGTAAATTAAATGAATCTTTGAAGCGTTCCCCCCCCAGCCCCCTACATGAGATTTACTTTGGAACACCTTTGGGGTCTCGCTTTTGTGTGCCTATTTAAATGTTAGTGACCTTTTTTCGATATAAGGCGCTAACAGCCAAGGTCCTTTCGAGTCTGACGCTGTATTTGTGGCCGCCGGGAAGCGGGAGATTTCCCATTCGCACCTTAAAAAGTCGAATATCAAAGCGTTCAAAGTTGGCGGAGGAACCTAATAATCTCCCCCCCCCCCCCAACATAAAATGGTGTCATGTATTTTTCTTCGTTGAAGGTTCAGAAATGTCTAAATTCCCAGTAACCTTGAATGCAACACCAATGCGAATATTGCGATGTAATATGCGCTTATTTTTTTTTTTCTACAAGGTCCTCTTCTCTTTTTTTTTAAACACAAGTAATAAATCATCTGTGTTAGAATAAACAATATCAGCATCATTCCCGTGAGTGACTTTGTTGCCGTTTGCAGACGCTGAACAAGAACAATCTCCTCCCGGACGAGCGCTCCAACTTGTTCCCGCCGTCGCTGCAGCAGGCCAACGTGTACACCACCACGTACTACCCGCCCGCCCTGGGCAAGTTCGACTACCAGCCCAACGCATCGCCGTCGCCCTGCCGGACCTACAACCACACCAACAACAGCTGAGGCTCGCCGACTCCTCTCGGACCCCCCCCCCCCACCACCACCACTCCTCCGCCAAAACCGACCAAGCCCCGCCTCCCTGCCGTGATGTAACAAGCTGGAACTTTCCGCAAGGAGAACGCGGCTTCGCATGACGAAAGGAGCGGGAACTTGGACTAAGTGGGTGACGGCGAACTTCTGAAAGTCCTGCTGATGACCACCGGAAAGATGTGCAGGGGGGTGGGCGCAGTTGTAAATAATCCCACCCCCCACCCCGGCAGAAAGACTTCAATGGATCGTCCAGTCGGATCGCTCCGAAGCAAAATAGCGCGGCGGTCATATCAAATATGGCCGCCGCGCTGCATTAAAGTGAGGGTTCGGAATAAGCTAGTAGATGACACTTCCTTTTCAAGATGAACCATAGAAAATGGTTGAAAGTAGGGCTTCAAACCTGGGTTAGGGCGTCAAAAGTAAGGGTTTAACTTTGGGCTACAGTTTGAAATAAAGGTGAGGGTTTTAAGTTAACGTTTCAGGTTAAGGGTTTAAAAATTTACGGTGTTAAATCAGGATTGGGGTTTGAAATTAAAAGTTAGGGTTCAAAGTAGGGCATCAACCTCGGTGAAAGTTTCAGACGAGGGTTAGCATTTCAAATGAGCTAAATCGGGTAAGCATCAGGTGTGTTTCATGTAAAGGTTAGGTTTTCGCATTAGGGAGTGACAATGCCTGAGATTTCAAAAGAGGCGGTCAAGCCAGGGTTCAGGTTTCAAAATTCAGCCCCGATTTCAAACCTAAGCTTGAAACTTCAACTGAGGCTTCAAATCGTAACTCGCAACCCTAATTTGAAGCCCTACCACTACGCTGAATCCAGGCGTAATTTGTAACCCTCATCTTGATTTGACCCCTGAATGTTGAACCTGGCCCTTGAAACTCCGCCTCCTGACTGGCAACCCTCGTTGAGAGCCCTAACCCAGCTTTGACACCCTAACCCTTTTTGCAGCCCTACCCTGTCTTTGTTTCAAGCCCTTTGGAAGCCAGTAGCATAGCACCACTAACTCTTCTTCTTCTTCTTCTTCTTCTTCGTTGGTAAACTCACTTGATTTCAGTTGTTTATTTTCTGTGTGTGTGTGTGTACTTGTGAATAGAGGCAACCGGGGACTTTGGTGTCATGACACACTCACGCCCGGGAGACTCCGCGCACGCTGGATTTGATTCCAATGTCACTACTGTACTGCTGTGTGTGTGTGTGCGCGCGTGTGTACATTCGGCAGATAACCCGATCATATGACAACCTCTAAAAGGACATGTAGACATACATCATGTATGTGTATATCGACACGTGTGTCTATTCTGTGTGGTTTATAGGGAAGCCTTATAGTCCGCGCACGCACGCACATATTGAAATGTGTGGGGACGTGAAGTGTGTGTGTGTATGTGTGTGTGTGTGCGTGTGTGTGCGTTTTCTATGCAAGTCGTGTGGAGGGGCGTGTTGTCGTCCGCACTGTGAATCTTTTTGCTACTTTCTATTTTTCTACCAGCAGCGCCGCAAAACTCAATAAAACTTCAAAAGGACAAGCGTGCGTGGACGCAACCACAAAAAAAAAGTCTTCTCTGTGTGTCGTTGATTTTAGGGTTTCGATCCAGGTTTTTGTTTTTAGTGTGTTTGGGTTTCAACGACAAGGTTGGGAGATTGGGTTTCAAATTAGGGTTTGGGTTAAGGTTAGGGTCTCACCACGGGAGTAAGGTTTTATATTTGAGTTTGGTAGGGTAAGGTAGGGTCTTAAATTTGGGTTAGGGTTTCAAAATAGGGTTTTAATCTAGAGTTTGGGTTTCGAGCAAGGGTTTAGTGATGTGTCGGTCGCGAACGAGCCTGTACAAAGAGCCGGCTCTTGGAAGTGAACAATGAGAGCCGGCTCTGTCATTTTCTCTCTCTCTCTCTCTCTCTCTCTCTCTCTCTCTCTCTCTTTCCACATGCATGAAGCGAGGTTTGGCAGTGGCTCAGCTGCCTCTCTCTGTCTCTCGCTCTCTCTCTCTATGTCGCTCTCTCTTTTTCACGTGTCTGAAGCGAGGTTTGGCAGTGGCTCAGCTGCCGTGCTCAGAGAGGTAGACCAGAAGAGAAAGGGGAGGGGCGAGGGGCTTGGTAGGGACTGCCCAGAGTGCACACTAAGCACATCCTCCGTCGCGTCTGCGCAGCCACAGACAGACAAAGGAATTGACTTTCCAAGTTCCAACTTGTCCAGAGGATCATAAACACAACGACAAAGACCTACATGGCCCGCGGGCCTTTTTTCAGCTAAAAACGCCTTACTATATATACAT